TGAATATCTTCAGGGATGGTGCCTCAACCACCTCCCTGGGCAGCCCATTCCAAGGCTTGATAACCCTTTCAGTGAAGAATTTTTTCCTAATATCCATCCTGAACCTCCCCTGGCACAACTTGAGGCCGTTTCCTCTTGTCCCATTGCCTGTTCTTTGGGAGAAGAGACCAACCCCCACCTCTCTACAATCTCCTTTTAGGTAGTTGTAGAAAACCAGAGAGGGTTTGGTTTGATACCATCAACTAAAACCTGCAGGCACTGGGTGACACGGACTCTGTGTCCTTTGTGTCGCTTGGGATGAGTAGGGACGAGATCTTGAGTTTTGAGGCACGTCCCCAGGTCTCTCTCCATGTTGTCAGCTCAGGGAGGTGACCTCTTTGGGGCCTGAATGGTCATACTGGGATCTGTGTTGGGATGGGTGTCCATGTCCCAGTATCATCAGTCTCACCCATCCTGGAGCTCAGACTTGGTTGATTGATCGACCTTTCATTGATTTTGAGACCCTGGTTGATTGATCAACCTTTCATTGATTTTGAGACCCTTTGGTCTGGGAGACCAGAGGCCCACGTTGAAGGGAAGCCCCTTTGGCATGAGAGCACGTGAGGGAGATGAAGGGCTGTTTGCCCTGACTTCATCAGAGTTCTCTGTCTCCCTCTCAGGTTCTTCCTGGTCTCCTTGAAGTCAGCCATGATCAAAGGGTGCCGGGAGCCCCCGTATCCCAGTATCCTCACGGATGCCACCATGGAGAAACTGGCGCTTGCAAAGTTCGTGGCCCAGGAGTCCAAGTGTGAGGTGAGTTTGGGTATGGGGGCCATCACTCCACGTGGCAGAGGCTCTCAGGAGGCTCTCGTTGACTTCTCCACTTGACTCCGGCAGGCCTGCGACGTGGTTGTGCGTTTCTACGGCCTCGTTCACTGGGAAGACCCCATGGACGAGGCGCTGGGACCCACCAACAGTAGCTACAGCTCCACCGAGAACGCGGTCACCAAGGACGGCGTCCTGCACTACAAGGCGGGGACCTCCTACCTGGGCAAGGAGCAGTGGAAGACCTGCTTTGTGGTGCTCAGGTGGGCGCTGGGGCTGTGGGCTGGGGGGCTGGGGTCAGGCAGGGCTTGGTGGAGAAGGTGCTGGGACCAGCTTGCTGCCCAGGAGTTGCTTGGGAGATGGAGAGGACCCATCTTGGCACCTGGGAGGTGACAAGCCACCGGCTGTGGCTGCCCAGCAGCAGGGGGGAGGGCAGGCTGGAGGGGCTGTGGGATGGAAGGCAGAGGGTGTTTGTGTGGTTGGTGGAACCAAGCTGACTCCAGTTACCACCTCTCTCCTCTTCCCAAACGGCAGCAACGGGATCTTGTACCAGTACCCGGACCGCACGGACGTCACCCCTCTGCTCTCCATCAACATGGGGTAAGCGCCTGGTGGGACATGGCAGCCCAGCTCAGAATCACAGAGTGGCCTAGGTGGGAAGGGACCTTTAAGATCATCTAGTCCAACCATAAAACAAACAAACAAACAAACAAAAAAAACCCACATAGAAAAAAAACCAAACCAACACTAAACCATATTCCCAAGCATCATATCAACTCATCTTTTGAATATCTCCAGGGATGGTGCCTCAACCACTTCCTGGGCAGCCCATTCCAAGGCTTGATAACCCTTTCAGTGTAAATATTTTTCCCAATCTCCAACCTGAACCTCTCCTGGTGCAACTTGAGGCCGTTTCCTCTTGTCCCATGGCCTGTTCCTTGAGAGAAGAGACCGACCCCCCCTGGCTACACCCTCCTTTCAGGGAGTTGGAGAGAGCAATAAGGTCTCCCCTCAGCCTCCTCTTCTCCAGGCTGAACACCCCCAGCTCCCTCAGAAGTTCTCCAGACCCTTCTCCTTGCTCTCCAGACCCCTCACCAGCTCCATTGCCCTTCTCTGGACCCACTCCAGCACCTCGGTGGGGATCTGGGGATGGGGGAGCTCCTTGGGGTGTTCAGGGGGGGTCTTTAGGGGCAAACCATGACCTGGTCCATGCTGCAGGACTCCCTGCTTGCCCCTGGCTGGGTACGGATGCCCGTTTCCTTTGGCTCCGATGCGTGTCGTTGGAGATGGGCTCATTTCCTCCTGGATTTTCCACCCTTTGATGGGGAATTGGTCTCTGAGGGGCTGACATGTTCCTCCAGGAGCCACACTGGGTGTCCCCCACCAACCCACCAGCTCTACCATGGTGTTCAGGGACTGAGAGCATCCTTGGAGCAACCGTAGGGGGTGTCGCAGATGGGAAACGAGTGTTTGCGGGGAGAAGGGGGGAACATGCAGCGCGGGGTGGGGGGCAGAGGGAGGCTGGTTTTGGGCTGGCCCTGACCCCTTTCCATCCTGCTCATCTCCATCCTCCCCCCTCTCTCCCAGCGGCGAGCAGTGCGGGGGATGCCGACGCTCCAACACCACCGACCGGCCCCACTCCTTCCAGGTGATCCTGACGGACCGGCCCTCCCTGGAGCTCAGCGCCGAGAACGAGGAGGACATGGCAGACTGGATGCAGTACTTCTGCCAGGCTGTCTCCAAAGGGGTGAGCCAGGGATGGGACACCCCCTTCCCCCAAACATGGGCACATCCACCCCCCCTCCTTCACCCGGAGCCCCTTTGGGGATGTCGGGAAGGGATCACAGAATCCCAGAATGCTACGGGGTTGGAAGGGACCTCTGGAGATCACCCAGTCCAACCCCCGGCCACAGCAGGTCCACCCAGAGCAGGTCCCACAGGAATGTGTCCGGGGGGGGTTGGAATGTCTCCAGAGAAGGAGACTCCACCACCTCTCTGGGCAGCCTCTGCCAGGGCTCTGCCACCCTCAAAATCAAGAAGTTCCTCTTCATGTTGAGGTGGAACTTCTTATATTCAAGTTTGTGCCCATTTCCTCTTGTCCTGTCCCTGGGCACCACTGAAAAAAGACCAGCCCCATCCTCTTGGAGCCCCTCTGCTACGAGGACAGGCTGAGGGAGCTGGGGTTGTTCAGCCTGGAGAAGAGGAGGCTCCAGGGAGACCTAACAGCAGCCTTCCAGCACATGAAGGGGACTACAGGAAGGCTGGGGAGAACCTGTTTCCAAAGGCCTGCAGTGACAGGACGAGGGGCAATGGCTTTAAGCTGGAGAAGAGCTGATTTAGATGGGATATTAGGAATAAGTTCTTTACTATGAGGGTGGTGGAGCACTGGAATGGGTTGCCCAGGGAGGTGGTTGAGGCCCCATCCCTGGAGATATTCAAGGTGAGGCTCGACGAGGCCCTGGGCAACCTGGTCTAGTTGGGGGTGTCCCTGCTGACTGCGGGGAGGTTGGACTAGATGGCCTTTGGAGGTCCCTTCCAGCCTGGACCATTCTATGGTTCTTGACACCCACCCTTGAAGGATTTAGAGGTGTTGATCAGATCCCCCCTCAGTCTGCTCTTCTCCAGACTGAACAGACGCAAGTCCCTCAGCCTCTCCTCGTAACGGAGGAGCAGACAGTTTTCTCCCAAGCCAGGAGTTCTTCCCCACGGGCCACCCCGTGGAGATGGGGTTTCTTCGTGCCAGATTTTAACACCTCCCCCTTTCCCCCCACCCCATGCAGGTGATCCCCCAAGGGGTTGCCCCTACCCCCTGTGTCCCCTGCTGCCTGGTGCTGACGGATGAGAAGGCTTTCACCTGCCACGAGGACTGTCAGACCAGCTTCTTCCGCTCGCTGGGCACCGCGGAGCTGACGGACATCACCGCCGTCTCCACGGAGGCCGGCAAGGAGTACTGTATCCTGGTGAGCACTGGTGCTGTGGGACCAGCCAGCCAGGGGCTGGGAAAGGGATGGTAACACCTCTCTCTTGGTGTTTAGGAGTTTGCTCAGGACAGCAAGCAGTTCCTGCCCCCCTGGGTCCTCTATTTTAGTTGCACTACAGAACTGGAGAGGTTCCTCTCGGCGCTGAACGCTGCGTGGAGGAACATCTACCAGGTGAGCATGTGAGGCTGCCCCCGGTGAGGAAGGGCGAGCGGGGATGGTGTCCTGGGAGGAAGGACTTGGGTGAATTGTTCCCTGCAGGGTGAACCCGGCTTTCCCACAAGGGAGCATCTCCCTTATGAGGAGAGGCTGAAAGAGCTGGGACTCTTTAGTCTGGAGAAGAGAGGGTTCCACTTGAATATGAGGAAGAACTTTTTCACAGTGAGGGTGGCAGAGCCCTGGCAGAGGCTGCCCAGGGAGGGTGTGGAGTCCCCTTCTCTGGAGATCTTCAAGACCTGCCTGGATGCTCCTGAGTAACATGCTCTGACAAGCTCTGGGTGGTCCTGCTTCAGCAGGGGGGTTGGACTGGATGATCTCTATGGTCCCTTCCAACTCTAAAAATTCAGTGAAATTCAGTGAAAAGGGGCAGGAGAGCCACGGGCATCCTCCATGTCCCTATAACCACGGGATGTGGGGATTCAGAGCTTGAGCCCCCTGGGAACAGATTTAGACTGGAGATGAGGAGAGGGTTCTTCACTGTGAGGGTGGTGGAGCACTGGAACAGGTTGCCCAGGGAGGTGGTTGAGGCCCCTTCCCTGGAGATATTCAAGGAGAGGCTCGACGAGGCCCTGGGCAACCTGGTCTAGTTGGGGGTGTCCCTGCTGACTGCGGGGGGGTCGGACTAGATGGCCTTTGGAGGTCCCTTCCGGCCTGGGCAATTCTAGGAGGGGTGGGGAGGAACCTGGGTCAGCCCCTTCCCCTTTGTCACCCGCATTTATGACACAGGTGACTTTTTGAGGTGGTTTTTTACAACAAGGAGGGAGGGGGGGAGGTGGCTGTCGTTCTTTCCCTTCCTGACCCCCTTCCACCTCCACCCCCATGCAGTTCTAGGAGGGGTGGGGAGGAACCTGGGTCAGCCCCTTCCCCTTTGTCACCCGCATTTATGACACAGGTGACTTTTTGAGGTGGTTTTTTACAACAAGGAGGGAGGGGGGGAGGTGGCTGTCGTTCTTTCCCTTCCTGACCCCCTTCCACCTCCACCCCCATCGTGTGTTTCAGGTCGACCTCCTGCACAAGGCCATCCTGGACGCCGCCGTCAAGAAGAAGTGCGAGGACGCTCAGAGCCTCATCGACAGCGCCTGGCAGCGCAGCGACAGCCTCTGCCGCGGGCGAGCGGAGCGGGACCCCTGGTGTTAACCCCGGCGGGGGGCACGGACGGCTCAGGGCCTGGGGGGGCCATTTTTTGGAGAGCGGGACCGGCACCCAGCTGCCCCGCAGCCAACCGGACCCCCCCTCGCCCCCCAAAAACCCTCCCGCCATCGCTGGCTCCCCACCAGGAACGTGCCTGCAGGGGTGGCCCCCCTCCCCACCGCGCTTTCCACCCAAGTGGGGGACACCCAGCACATTTTTGGGGAGAAACCAGACGTTTCCCTGCGCTGGAGGCGAGGCCCAGCTCTGCCCGGGGGGAGCCTGCGCCCTCCTCCACTGCCACGGGGCAAAATAATTTGCCTTTTACGGAATAATATCGTGAGGGAGAGGGTGGGAGCGGGGTGGGCTGGGGGTGAGTGTCCCCCCCGTGGTGGCCCAGAGCTGGACTGAGGTTCATGGGTGGAGGTGACGAGAGGGGGACACTGAATGGCGCCCGTGCATGTTTTCTCCTCGCTAATTACAATCACCGAGCGCGGCACCGCTTCGCCTCCTCCTCCTCCTCCTCCTGGCGTCTCCAGGAGATCGGCCATCACAAAACCCACCCTCCAGCCTGTCAGTGAGAACTTCCAGGTGCAGGAAGAAGGAACCAGGGCCAAAAAAAGAAAAAAATCTGGCCTTAAATATCCCAGCAGGGTTTTAGGAGACCTCTGAAGCTCCGAAGAAGTTTGGACACTTGGCCCCGTGTGGCCCCGGGGGTGGAGGAGATGGAGTCCCACCTTCTCCAGGTGTCTCAAGGGACGTTGTTGTCACACGGCTGCCACCACCCAACCTGTCCCCCTTTCGGCTCGCGAGGACCCGTCACCGCTTGCCCTCTACAGCGAGCCCTCCGGGGCACAACCCCAGCTTTTAAATAATAATAATAATAATAATAATTAATAATAATCCAGAGACCTTCTCATGTAATATATGTTCACGGGGGGCCTTTTTCTGGGCGGCAACGTACGTGACTGAATGTATATGTACATACATCTGCTTCCTTTCCCCCCTCCCCAAATAAATATCCATTGGTAACTCGGATTTGGCCCAAAGGCAAATTCCGGGGCCGGGGGCTGCCATTCCTCCCCCCCCGGGATGATGGAGCTTTGCTTCAGGGCAGGGAGAAGGGGATATTTAGGATGAAGAAGAGGAGGAGGAAGAAGGGGGGGCAGGATGTGTACGTTAACCCTCCAGGGGGGCACCTTTGCAGCTTCAACCCTGAATTATCCCCTCCCAGGGGGTCACTGCAGAGCCCTAAAAATAGGAAGCCACAAGGAGGGGGGGACACACACAGGGGACAGACATCGACACCATCACCCCCCCCCCGCAGCTTTTTGACCTGGAAAGCTCCGATTTCAAAGCATTTGGGTAATCCCGAGAGGGGCTGGCACCGGGAAAAGGAGGAAAGGAGGTGAGACCCCCCCCTCCCCACCTCAACCCCCCGCCC